AATGAGGTGAAGCAGGGAGGGAAATGAGGTGAAGCAGTGAGGGAAATGAGGTGAAGCAAGGAAGGAAATGCGGTGAAGCAGCGAGGGAAATGAGGTGAAGCAGTGAGGGAAATGAGGTAAAGCAGGGAGGGAAATGAGGTGAAGTAGTGAGGGAAAAGAGGTGAATCAGTGAGAGAAATGAGGTGAAGTAGTGAGGGAAATGAGGTGAAGTAGGGAGGGAAATGAGGTGAAGCAGGGAGGGAAATGAGGTGAAGCAGGGAGGGAAATGAGGTGAAGTAGTGAGGGAAATGAGGTGAAGCAGGGAGGGAAATGAAGTGAAGCAATGAGGGAAATGAGGTGAATTAGTGAGGGAAATGAGGTGAAGCAGTGAGGGAAATGAGGTGAAGCAGTGAGGGAAATGAGGTGAAGCAGGGAGGGAAATGAGGTGAAGCAGTGAGGGAAATGAGGTGAGGCAGTGAGGGAAATGAGGTGAAGCAGGGAGGGAAATGCGGTGAAGCAGGGAGGGAAATGAGGTGAAGCAATGAGGGAAATGAGGTGAAGCAGGGAGGGAAATGAGGTGAAGCAGTAAGGGAAATGAGGTGAAGCAGGGAGGGAAATGAGGTGAAGCAGGGAGGGAAATGAGGTGAAGCAGGGAGGGAAATGAGATGAAGCAGTGAGGGAAATACGGTGAAGCAGGGAGGGAATTGAGGTGAAGCAGTGAGGGAAATGAGGTGAATCAGTGAGGGAAATGAGGTGAAGCAGTGAGGGAAATGAGGTGAAGCAGTGAGGGAAATGAGGTGAAGCAGGGAGGGAAATGAGGTGAAGCAGTGAGGGAAATGAGGTGAAGCAGGGAGGGAAATGAGGTGAAGCAGTGAGGGAAATGAGGTGAATCGGTGAGGGAAATTATGTGAAGCAGTGAGGGAAATGAGGTGAAGCAGTGAGGGAAATGAGGTGAAGCAGGGAGGGAAATGAGGTGAAGCAGTGAGGGAAATGAGGTGAAGCAGGGAGGGAAATGAAGTGAAGCAGGGAGGGAATTGAGGTGAAGTAGTGAGGGAAATGAGGTGAAGCAGGGAGGGAAATGAGGTGAAGCTGTGAGGGAAATGAGGTGAAGCAGGGAGGGAAATGAGGTGAAGCAGTGAGGGAAAAGAGGTGAAGCAGGGAGGGAAATGCGGTGAAGCAGGGATGAGGGGGAGAAAGGGTGGGCCTTGGGCGTAGAGCATAGGGCGCAGAGCATGGGGCGCAGAGCATAGGGCGCAGAGCATGGGGCGCAGAGCATAGGGCGCAGAGCATGGGGCGCAGAGCATAGGGCGCAGAGCATGGGGCGCAGAGCATGGGGCGCAGAGCATGGGGCGCAGAGCATGGGGCGCAGAGCATAGGGCGCAGAGCATTGGGCGCAGAGCATAGGGCGCAGAGCATGGGGCGCAGTGCATAGGGCGTCGAGCATAGGGCGCAGTGCATAGGGCGCAGAGAATAGGGCGCAGAGCGCAGGGCTCATAGAGCAGAGCGCAGGGGGCAGAACTCAGGGGGCGGAGGGGGCAGAGCGCAGAGTGCAGGGGCGCGGAGCACGTGTACCTGTCCTGGCGTGGTGGTGCCTCGTTCTAGCGCCCTCTCCACGCTGCTATTCGAATAGAATAGTGCGTGCGCTGGACGTTTGTGAGTTGACGCGCTGCTAGACGACCAGTGGCGCGAGCTGCGCGTAAACCGGTGAGGGGGATGGTCGTCTCTGTATTTCGCGCGCTGCTACTCGCCCGTGGGCGCCCGGTGGCTAACTGAGTAGAGTTGCGTAACCCTAAGGGTATGCGTATAGTGGACGCCCCCAGCGTGGCATTGCCCTAAGTAATAGGCACTTTCGAGCCCAATATACGTTCGCAATGCCCCGAAACCGTCGACCTACGTGCTGCCAGAGGCAATCGATGTGCCAGAGGCCATATCGCGCTGTGTCGCGCTCTTCTCAACGCTCCTTCCTGCGACTCAGCATGTACGTTTTCTGGCATGTCACCTTCGCTTGCACGTTTCCTTGTTAGCTCCTGCGGTTATTTCACACGAAGTAGTTAGCTTGATTGATCGTGATGTTCTTTCTCCTCACTCGTGTTGGTGCTTCCCGTTTTCGGTTTTGCTAGTAGTCGCATTGTGCGTGGACCTTCTCCACTACTTGAACCTGATTGGCTGAAGAACAATCCTTGCGACACTCCTTCCAGTCGCTCCACAGTGCTTGCAAATCCGTCAAAGGTGCACAGTATCGTTCACCACCGCTTAACGTTTGGCGAGACCCCTTTCCCCCTCGTCAATCGATATTTTTCTCGCTACACTGACTTTGCCGAAATTCTTGTTTTCAAGGTTTCGCCAACACTATTTCAAACCCACATAACTTGATAAACTACCATGCTGAGTTCGGGCTTTAAACATTTCAAATAGGGGGCTTCCTCTACTTGTTTACAGCCTACTTAAATATTGTAGACACGCTGTTATAAATGATGTTACTGTATTTGTTAATTGTATGTGGTCCACTAATATGCTCCAACACTGATGGTGTTATTCTCCGCTAATAATAACATAGTAAATTCTGGGTCCCAGCCAATATTGGACCCGTTTTGCCTCTGATTGTTTTCCCTCAAAGAAACAACGACCTTACACCAATATTGGACCCTACAAACGAATCACTTGCACGACAAAATTGGACCTCAATTTGCTGCAACAGTACCCAGTGCACCTTTTACCAAGGCGACAAGTACGACTAGCCCTCAAATACAGTAGCGCACATCGGGTTAGGGGGCAGCTTGGAATAAATCAGCGTAAGGTGGTGAGGTGGCGGGGTGGGTTGGCAGCCCCGCTCAACACATTTCAACAAACAATTGAACCGAGAAACCAAGTTTGAGCTCTGTACACATGTACAACGTTTCTTCATGCTAGCTCTGCAACTTCGGCAATTTGTGAAGGAAAAGCCTTCCCAATCAACCCTTGGCCGCTGTTCTTTGCCCGGAACGCATGCACTGCGTCTGCGTGCCACACCTGGGCAGTGCACACTTGATCAGGGCTGCTTGGGAAACGCTGATCTGATGGTGCGGGTGCAACACGTATGCATACGAAGCATGACAAGTCTTGTGGGTTGTCCAAAGCCGAGCTGGATTTGGGAGGCCGGGCAGGCACCTTTGTTTGAGTTGGGCAACGATCAGCCAGGGAGAGGACGATGTTGAACGTCAAAACAAAACTCTGTTTCAGGGTTGGTCCACCTTGGCTTGTCTGAAATCGGGACGTTCAGCACAAGATGGCAAAGATGCGCCATCGTCATTGGTCGGTGGCAGCGATCATCTTTCGAAACAGAAGCGCCCGCGGAGAAAAGGTAGTCAGTGTACAGTGCAACGAACCCGAGCTACAGTGATGGTGCTCTGGACAGCACGGCGGGTAAGGGGAAGCGGATCGCAGAAGTTGCGGGGTTGGCGCGAGGCGGATCATGGGAAGGCAAGGGGAGACGCCACGCCTTCCTCTCCTCGCTCTTGCTTCCTCCCCTCATCTTCACCTACCTTTCTCTTCAGTCGAAGGGACACCACCAATCGAGTCAGATTCTTCCTCGCTTCATTCCTCTCCATGTCCACTAAAAGACCTAATTTTTGCAAGCTCAACCAAGTTCACAACTTACCAGTTTTTCGATTGCTTGACAAGGGGACTTACTGACTACAGAAGCTGAGACGGTTTTTTTTTTTTTTCCTGCTTGCATTGCTAACCAATCTTTACTGGAATGGTAGCTTGCGACTTCCGCTGTTCGTTGGTTTGGACCTAGTGGACAAAAACGAATTAGTTGGCATGGTGATCCCTAGATTGGATGGAGTGTCAGAATGGTTACGACACGCTACTGGCATCAGCCGCGGAGGTTTTGCCTTGTGAGAGAACAAAGGCGACCTAGCAACTGCTTGCTTAGCATTTATCCCCCTTCGCATATCATTCTTGATGGGACTCGTCTGACGCAAACCACGATTAGCATCTACTCCTGTAGCTTCTTTAAGCATTCATAGCAAAGATACTGAGCAGCATCCGCGTTTGGCCGTGGCAAGCGCCGCGTGGGGCTGGGAGCAGAGGGCAGCATCGGTCCACTTCGCAACGCCACCGACATCCATCATCGTCACGTCCATCATCATTCGCTCCCCCAGTGCGCGTCCCCAATGAAGCCCCGGTGGCCGCCATGGGTGCCCCCCGTCCTCGTTCAACAACTGTCGCACCTCCCGAAGCTCCGCAGTGTATCAGCCGCGGTGCGCGCCATGGGGCTGGGCCGGCGCGCTCCCGTTGTGGTTCTGTGCCTGACCGTCATGTGGACGCTCAGTTCAGTCGGCCGATTCCACGACAACCTTCGGTCCTGCGATTCCTCAAAACACGGCGCGCGATCCGCGTCTTGCAGCCCGCAGTCTGGTACGAGCATACAAAGAGTACTCATTCAGAGCAGTGACATGCCATCAGCCTGGTCCTCCGTCTCCCATCTCTCCCCCTCCTCCTCCTCCTCCTCGTCCTCTTCTTCCTCCCCTTCCAGCCCCTCGTCCCCCAGCGCCTCCGCAACCACCGCCGGCTCCTCCTCCTCCGTCGCTTCCCCTCTCTCCTCCACATGTCCGCGCCTCACAATATTCTCCGCCCCCACCGCGTATAACGTAACCACGTATGCGCATCGACGCGCGCTGCTATCGTGGCTGCGGCTACACCCCGTTCCACGCATAGTGCTGCTCGGCTCGCACCCCTCGCTCGATGCCATAGCCGCGGAATTCCCGGACCACGTGACAGTAGAGAGTGACGTGGACGTGAACCTGGAGGGCGCGCCGCTTTTAAACTCCGTCCTGGCGCGGATACAAGCGGAGGGCTTGTCGTCCGCGCAGTCCTCTCCCCCGTACCACTCCTCATCCGCGTCCTCCTCGTCCTCGTTACACGCATCCTCCGTTTGCGATATGGTCATGCTTGTAGATCCCGACGTGCTTCTTTTCAACGACATGTTCTTCGCGGCGCGCAAAGTAGCGGCGCGGTTCCCGTCCTTCATGATCCTAATGTCCTCCTGGGACGTCAACTCCTTTCGCTTCCCCTTAGACGGCCTCCCTCCCTCCATTCAAAGACGGCAAGCTGCCGCCTCCGCGTCGGCAGGATCAATTAGTCCAGGGTCCGAGGCGGCATCTGGCCAGCCGGTGGACGAGCAGAAGATACGAGACTTCGTGCGCCGGCGCGGGCGGTTGAATACAGGCGGGGGAGTGGGGGCGTTCTTGTGGAACCGTCCCGCGGATCCCCTGTTACCAGGTAACACCACCGTTCCGCCCTTCTTCCTCGGTCGCGGGGCGTACGAGCGCTGGCTCGTGCACATGGCGTCCGGCGCGGGGGCAAATGAGGGGGAAGCGGACGGGGCGCTGGCGGGGACTGGCGCGGAGAACGCGGGTAGTGGCGGTAGCGGGGGAGCGGGGCGGAAAGGGCGGAACCAGGGGGCGAACGAGATTCGGATCAGCAGCAGAATACGGCAGGTGGTGGATGCGAGCGACTCGGTGACGGCGGTGCGGGTGTTCTCGGCGCTGGACGTGCAGAAGGAGGTCGAGATGGTGCGCGAACGCGCCATGGAAGAGTTCCCCCTGCCTAAGAAGCCGCGCGTGCAGCGCGCGTGGTGGCAGCGCCGGGGGCCCGCGGGGGACGGCGCAGGCGCGGAGGAGCGGGAGAAGTTGGAGGAGGAGGAGGGGGACGAGGCGGAGGAGGAGCGGCTGCGGTGGCACCCGCTGCCGCGGAAGAGCGTGAAGGGGTGGGAGGTGTATGCGAACATGCACATGGCGCGATTCCTCTCCCCCGCGCCCTTCTCGGAACTGCTCGGCACGCCCGGCCACGCTCCTTGGCGCCTCTCGCCGTGCTTCGACCCGCAAGGTGCGCGCAAGGGGGGGTGCGAGTGAGGGATGGGGATGGTTGTGGGGGGGGGGGAGGGAGGGAAAGAGGGGAGTGAGAGATGTGGAATGAAGGAGTGTTGCAGAGAGGTAAGCCCAATGGACGATTCGATCACTGATGTGGCCATGGTATAACGAACCAGTCATGATCACGGCTGAATGGTGAGGCCAACACAGAGCAACAACTGCCAGTGCTCGCCAAGGCCGTAGAACCGCACTGATACTGAAACCACACACGCACACACACAGAAAGGCTTAATAACGAATGAAACCAGGGCCCGCTCACGAACACGAACCACACCAAGGGCCTGTCCGCCCGGCCTACCCTGCACGCCCCCCTCCCCACATCCCCCCTCCCCTCACCCCGCTTGCTCCAAGGCGGGTGGTGCCCGCAGTGAGCCTCTCCTCTATGGCACGCTTGTGTCCACCTTCAGGAGCCGCCCTTGCCGCCCTCGCTCTGCCTCTCCTTCCCCCCCTTGCTCCTCGGCTGACTATTTTCTTGATTTTGAGAAGAGAATGATGAAGGCAACTCCATGTGTAGCTTCTTCCCCATGTTCTCGACTTGCTTTTTCCTCGCTCTGCTGCGCTTCTTCAACTCCCCCCTCCATCCACCCAACCCTAACCCCGATCCCCTGCCTAGAGGGCATTCCACCCAACTCCACTCAACCCAACTCCACTCCACCCCACTCCATTCCACCCCCCTCCACTGCCCTCTTGTGCACTGGTCTCCATCCCGCCTCCACCCACTCATTCCCCTCCCTTCACCGCCCCTCCCCTCCCTTCTCTCTCCTCCCCTCCCCTCCCCCCCTCCACTCCCCTCCACCCATCTCCACCGCGCGCGCCACAGGCGAGTCCATGTGTCTGCTGCGCCGGCGCCGCCCAGGCAACTGCACATGCGAGCACGCACCACTGGCGCGCCACACATCAGAGGACATTCGCCTGCACGACGGCACCTGGTGGTTCTGCGGCCGCCTGCAAGCCCTGCCGCCCGCCTCCTTCGCTCTCAACATCCACCCCGCTCCCTCCCACTCCGCCATCCCCACCACCACCGCATCCCTCCTCACCACTGCCTCCTCTGCTACCTCTTCCCCCATCACCACCACCTCTTCTTCCTCCTCCTCCTCCTCCTCCTCTGCATCTTCCCGCGCGGTCTCCACATCTCCCGCGCCACTCACCTCCTCCGCCTCTGCCTCCGCGCAGCCCTCCGCGTCCGCCCTGCGGCAGCGCATAGCGGCGCTGCTGCAGCTGCCGTCGTCGTCGTCCCCTCTGGACGCCATGGCGGAGAGCGCGCTGGCGGGGGCGGCCTTCTGGCGCGGCGTGGAGGGCATGCCGCACACGCTGGAGCAGCTGCTGCCGCGCGTGGCGGACCGGCACCAGACCGTGGTGCTGCTGGCCGCTGGCAGCAAGGACAGCACCGCCACGCTCAACTTCATCTGCATGTGTGTGGGGCGAGTGGGCGGGGGAAAGGGGGGTGCGGGGAGGGACGAAAGAGCTGCGGCTTAGAAGGGAGTGAGTGGAAAGGGAGCAAGAACTGGGGTGGGGTTGTTTGTTTTGGTAAGGGAGCACTTGAGTGGGAGGGCATGTGGTGCGATTGTGGTGGGACAGGTGGGAGTGGAGTAGAGGGCTGGTTGAAGAGGTGCGCAGAGGAAGCTTACCAGCAAGCATCTCACCGCAACTTGCTCTTACCACATTGCACCACATACATATTGTATGCTCGTCACACATGCCACCTACATTATGTCATGCCATGTCATTTCACGTCCTGTCATGGTCCCTAGATTCACTCTCATTCTCCTTCTTCCCCACAAAAAACACTCCCTCTTCAAATCCCAAGACTCCTGCGCCCTTCCACCAACCCCATGTCCCTCACCTCTCATCCACTCACTTTTCGCCATCCCAATCCCCTCACCCACACTTTCCCACTCCTCTTCTTAACCCCACCCCATCTCCACCCCTCGTCCCAACTCGCGCCCCAGGCTGCGGCGGTTAGAAATAACCAACTTCATGCTGGCAGCGCTGGACGCGGATATGTACTCCTTGGCCTTCCTGCACGGCCTCCCTGTCTTCCTCCACTCCACCTCCTCCCCTCGCTCGCCACCCTCCTCCTCCTCCCTCGCCTCCTCCAAGCCCTGCCTCTCCTCCTCCTCGTCCTCCTCTCCATCCTGTCAAGAGGCAGCAGCAGCAGCGGAGGAGGTGGAGGGAGCGGGGGCGGTGGCGTCGGCGGTGGTGGCGATAACGGTGCATGTGCTGCGTCTGGGCTACTCAGTGCTGTGGTCCGACGTGCATGCCGTGTGGTTCGCCAACCCTCTGCCGCACCTGCTCTCGCTCGGCCCTAACGTGCTCGCCGTGCAGGTCAGCTCTTGTGCCGCGTCCAGCTCTCTTTTCAGGCGCCGCAAAAGTCGCCCTGCTCACTCTTCAGGCGCGGCAAAAGTCGCCCTGCTCACTCTTCAGGCGCGGCAAAAGTCGCCCTGCTCACTCTTCAGGCGCGGCAAAAGTCGCCCTGCTCACTCTTCAGGCGCGGCAAAAGTCGCCCTGCCCTGCCCTCCTTGTCTCCCGCCCACTTATCAGATAGACCCTGATCTCTACCTCTCTCACTCATTTTCTCTCGCCTGCCTCCACTCTTGATCCCCGCTCTGTCACTTGCCCACATTCCATTCTCCATCGCTTCTTCCCCCTCCCGTGTGCGTCCCCTCCATCCGCGTCCTTTTTCCCGCTCCTTTCCCCATCCACCTTCACCCTTCTCCATCCTCCCCTTCCCTCCTCCTTCGCCCCATTCACCCCCGTTCCACCTTTCCCCTGCCACGTTCCCACTCTTTCCTCCAAGCCCACTATCCTTCCCTGCTGAACCCACATCCCTCTTGCTAACATCGCACTCGCCAACCCCACCTCCACCCACCCTCTTCCGCCCTCTTCTTCTGACCTTTTTCCGGATCTTCCTCCCTCTCTACCTCAAACCAAACATTGCTCCTCCGCTTCCCCCTACGCCACTCCCCGTTCTCCCCTCAATCTTCTCTCCCTCCCTTCCATCCTCTCCGTTCGTCTCTTCTCCCCTCACCTTCCTTTTCATCTCTTCAAGTCAATCCCCCTCCCCTCTCCTCCACTCACCGTCAACTCTCCGCACTGCACCGCACACCACCGCACGCCCCTCTCTCCAACCCCACAGAGTGCAGAGACGAGTCGCAAGCGGGCAGCCAATGGAGCGCGCAGCATAGGCGGGGGGCTCATGTTTGCGCACGCGGACCGCCCCACACTGGAAGCCCTAGAGGCAGTGGCGGCGTATGCAGCAGCGGTGCGCGCAGAGGCGCAGGCGGACAGTGCAGCGGGCACGGAGGGCGGTGGCGAGAGCAGTGCGAGGGGGCGTGCGGACGGGGTGGAGGTGGAGGAGCATCGATCCGCTTATGACGTGCTGTGTGGGGAGCGCGGCGAACTCAAGGTGCGCCCCTTGTGGCGTGTGGTGGGTGGGGTGGGAAATGTGGAGAGTGGTAGGGAAGGGAGGGGAGGGAGGGGAGGTAGGGGAGGAAGGAGAGGGAGGAGAGGAAGGAGTGGGAGGAGAGGGAGGAGTGGGAGGAGAGGGAGGAGAGGCGGAGAGAGATGAGAGCGTTGGAAGCGAGTGTTGTATGAGGGTTTGGAGAAGCTGTTCCAAAAAGTCTGTGGGAGTGTGATGAGCAGCAGCCTCATTCGTTCAATTCCGCCACACTACTCCCTAACCACAGCACTCTTCTCACATCCTCCATGTCCCAGCACCAAGCATGCCACCCACCTTTCTTCCTGCTCCCCATTGCTCTGCATCCCACGTCCCCTCCCTGATTCTCCCATGGCAGGTGGGGAGGGAGGAGTGCAGGTGGGGCAAGCACCTGAGAGTGCTGTTCTTGGACCGACAGCACTTTCCCAACGGGGCCGTCTACTCCATCTGGCGCTCGCGCAACGCTGCTGCGTCGTGCCACCGCCTGCGCTGCATGACGCTGCACAACGGGGTCATTGTCGGTGAGTCATCCCTCTCAAACCCGCTGTCCCTGCCCACAAGCCCTCTCTGTCCCCCGCCATGCCCCCCCCCCCCCCCCCCCCCCCTGTGCCCCCCCCCACTGTGCGCCTCCTCCTCTGTGCCCCCTCGGTGTACCCCTCTGTGCGCCCCCTTGCACGCAGCCTTGCGCACCCCATTGCGCGCCCCCCCGTGCACCCCCAATGTTGAGCCCACATGATTGCATTGCAATAACGTGGATTAGGCCCTTTTGTACAGCCCCGACTCACGGGCTTGCTCGCATAAGTAGAGATTGCTATAAGGAACAGCACACCGCGCACTTGAGGGCTCTCTCACGGTGTGACCTCCCCTCTGCCTCCTTGCTCACACACTTCCTATTTGCCCTCCCCCGCCCGGTTTTCCCCATTGAGCCTGGTCCCTGGTGTCAGGGCGGGAAGCCAAGGCGGAGCGCATGAGACGGCACGGGTTTATTTATTACGATGAGCACACACGCATGTGCATGCACCCATGGCACCCTAGGTTCCATGCCAGGGACCATTGACGGTTATAGCAAGTGGTGGTGGTGTGGCAGCAGCAGCAGTATGCATGCGCGTGTGCATGTGCATGAGTGGTTATTTTAGCTCAAACAACCATGTGTGCACGTGCCACTGCGGAGTTCACGTCACGCGGAGGTGCAGGAGGGAAGTGAGGAGATCAGTGTTTCATGAAGTGCACGCACGGCATGGCACGCTTACAGACACTGCCTCGGCACTTCCCAGCCTCCCGGGACTTCCCAGTAGCCATCATCAGATCAGATGTGTGGAGTGGAGTGGCGGATGGTGCTGTTGACATATGGATACGTACCTGCAGTGTCAAATAGTAGTGGTAGTGTAGTTTGGGGCGCCAAGGTGTGTAGATTCAACGCAATTGCTTGGCCTTGCTTACAGGACCATGGTTGTACTGTAGTCATTGCCTTGTCATTACTGGTTGTTAGAAAATAATGATACAGTAGCCAGCAATTGCTGCTATGTGGATCCCCAGCTTGAAGTCTTTCTTTGTCCCATATTCACCTGTCTGTACTGTACTGACCATCAGAGGACATTCCTACGCAACACTTGCAGCATGTGGGACAGTAAAATGACAGCATTAGAGAGACCAAGCCCAGAGGATAAAGTGTGCCACGGATACAGTGTAGGATTACACTACGTATGTATGTGCGATTCAGAACACAACACATGAGAGAGCGGTTATTCCAGCCTCCAAGGAGTGTGATGGAATGAGTCGGTTTGGGGGCCACAGCTGTGGTTGCTAGGAGTGGCTCATGGCTGGTCGGTTGGTTGATTGATTGAGATGGGGGGGACCGCCATGGCTGATGGTGGAGTAGGATCATGCCTGGACTAGGGGTTGATGCCTGTGTGTGCACATGTGCATGTGTGCGTGCTGTGAGACGTGTTTCTGTGTCCGTGTGCATGTGTGTGGATGAGAGTACGAGTGTATATGTATCTGCATGCGTGCACGTGCATATGTGTATGCGCATCTGTGTGTGTTCAAAGACTACGAGTCGCCATACCAAGTGCGATTGTGCACTCATGCGTGCACTCATCCATGCATCCATCCTTTCATCAAGGCAGCACGCTGCGTGCATCACTTGGCCAGGCGCGCAGACAGGGTTTCATAGGCACTTGAAATGAGCTTGAAACGCCGCTCTGCCTCAGCCTGTGGAGAGGGAGGAACAGATAACAAGGGAGACAGTAAGGAGGCGGCAAACGAGAAGAGGCGGGGGGGGGGGGGGGGGGGGAAGAGTACAAAGCAGGGAGAGGAATGAGAGCAGGAATGAAGAGTCAGAACGTGCAGCTAGCAGTGAGCCTCCCCATGCCCTACGTGTCCCCAGTTGCCCTGCCCCCCTCCGTGCGTGCACGCAGCTCACCCGGGCCTCTGGCTTCAACCCGTGCTGTGCGTCCGGATGCCACTGCTTCGCACACCGATGGTACCTGCACACCCAGGGGGGTCACACGCGCACGGACACACATGGCACTGTGCCGGGAGCCCACACGGTGTAGCGACAGAGATAGAAACGGCCTTGGAAAGAGGCAACGCAATGGGTAGAAGTTGAGTGTCTAGGGGTCTCACGCTGCTTTCAACGAGGCCTGGGTGAGGGCCCCCTGTGTGGCCAATCCTAGCAGGCGCCTCATCTCCATCTCCTCCCAGCTCAGCCCCTCCTCCTTGCCCCTCCCTGCATCTCCTCCTGCCGCCCGCTCCTCCCTCTCCTTCCGAATCCTCTCCGTCTCCATCCGAATCCGCTCCGTTTCCTGCCAGATCTGCCCAAACCGCTCCCAGGGATTGTCGCGCGGCGGGGCCCAGCGCTTGTAGTAGGCGTTCTGCTGATGCCCCATGCCGTATGTCTCGTAGTCTCCATGGTCGTGGTCATGGTCATGCCGCAGATGATCGTATGTCACCTCTCCGGTATCCATGTATGAGTCCACCTGCTGCTGCCTCCGCCACGCCTCCGCCTCATCTGCCCGCGACCACCCGCGGTAACCCCCGTCCCTCTCTGCCCCGCTGTGTCCCCTCCACGCGTCCTCACTGTCAAAATGCTCTGCTGATCCGCCCGGAAAATCTCCAGTTGCGCCATTGGAGGAGGAGGCGGAGGGTTGGTGGTTGCGGCGGGCTGAGCGGAAGAAGCGGACGGAGGAGGGGTGGCGGGCGAAGGAGGAGGAGAAGGAGCCGTCCCAGTGGAAGGACGCTGCTGCGAAGGAGCGCTCTCGCAGCCTGCAAGAGCGGGAGGGAGGGATCAGGAGAGGAGAAAGGCAGAGAGAGGAGAGAGGGCCATGTGTGGGGGGAGCGACGTGAGGGGAAAAGGAAATGGATAGTTGGAGCTAGCATGCCCCTCGTACCTCTCTTGAATCTCCCGTGCCTTCATGTGCTGCCAATAATTCACCCATGGCTGCTTCCTCCCACACCCACCTCCACGCCCCCCTTCCCCGAAGCCACTTCCTGTCCAACCCCCCTCATCCTCATCTCTCCCCCGCTGTTCCTCCTCTCGCTGCTGCTGCTGCTGCTGGTTGCGCCGCGAACAGCCATGGCTGTCCCATGCATGCGGCATGGCGTGATGAGCATGCATCATGGTGCCCCTGGTCCACGGCCCACGCACGTCCATGCCACACTGGCGTGCCTCTAGCACGCACTGTGCGTCGTCCACGTTCACTGCACCGCCCTGCACGCCCCGCCACCGCCTCAGCTCCCTGTTTGAAGCCGCGCGCTGCTGCCTCCGCTCGTACTGCCGGTGCTGTGTGGTGGGTGGGCGTGGGGAGGGGGGAGCGAGAGAAAGAGAGACAGCGGAGAGAGGATGGGGGGAGGGGAGGGAGTGGGGGAGGAGAGGGAGAGGAATGGAGCAAGCGAGAGGGGGGGAGGGATAGAGGAGAGCGGAGATAATAGAAAGAAGGAAATATGGGACAAGGGCCATGAGGCGGGAGAAAGGGGCGGCATGGGTGTGGAGGAAGGAAGGAGAGGTGAACGGAAGAGAAGCGGAGCACAAGGGCAAGGAGTTGAGAGGGGAGAGCGAGGGCTGACCTTGCTTGTTGCCTGGTCCGCATCACACGCCGTCTGCGGAGGGGGAGGAACCAGGGGAGGCGGGAAACGGGGCAGGGAGCAACGAGGAGAGCATGTGAGTTCGCGGGTTGTTATTGAAGCGACTCGGATGCAACTTCGTGTGCTTTGGCACGAGGTGACGAGGGTATGCGCGCATGGGGCAGTGCGCGCATGGGGCAGTGCAACGTTTTTTCGAAACGCGGGTTCGAGACGCGAGCAAGAGCAGGGAAAAAGGAGCGAGAGCAACGACGACTCACCGACTGCCACTTGTCGCGGTGTTTCCGCGCGCAAGCCGCGGACGAGTGGAAGGCGCGGGGTGGAACGGCGGAGTAAGGGGGGCTCAGACTTCCAGGGGGAGCGACATCCCCAGGCCCGCGCAAGTCGGGCGGATGGCACGGGCGGTGGGACGCGCCTATCGGGGAAACCGGCGGAGCAACAAGCGGAGGCGCGGTTGCACATTCTAATCCAATGGCGCCGCCGCCTGGCTTGTCGCTTCTGCTGCTGCCGCCGCGAACATTACAAGAAGCATCTAAGTCGCTCCGGCCAGTTCTGAGGGTAAGACTAGCCGCAGATGAAGGGCCAGGAAAACCCAATATTGAACGGTGCAAAGCGGTGGCGAGGCAATCAAGAGAAGTAGCGAGTGAATGGGGAGACGCATTTAACGCGATAGACCGCGAGCGGACGACGTAATGGGCTGCCATGCATCCCGCTCGTCGCACCCCTCTGTCGACGCGGATGTGCGGAGGGGGTACGACCCCGCGCAACGGCACGGCAAAATCCGCGAGGAGATTTGCGAAGAAGACGTAACGCGGCGAGAAACTACAGCGGCGATGCGGATTCACTCTTTGAGAGCGAACGGCAGCAAGCGCTTACGCGCCGTTGCCATCGGCAGCAGTTGGGCTTGGCGAATCGGCACGGGATGAATTTCGTTGCCTTCCGTGCGTCCCCGCAAACAGCGGACGAAGGACGTGACACGGTGTGGGAAGGAGCACAGGATAGGAGTCTCTCCCCACGTGGGATGGGGTCGGTTTCACGCGGGTGGTACTGTACGGTACCCCAAGCAGCTGAATCACTTCTGAGTGCCTCGAGAGAGAGCAAATAGTCTCTACTACAATTAGACGAATACATTCGCTTGTGATATGATGTTTGAACTTCTCTTAAATGCAGGCTTATTCAGAGCCATTAGATATTACATTGAGAAAAAATGCAGGATTATGACCAGAGTTCTGTCATACATACATGCACAAACCCACGTAGAACCATGCATATGGAAATCGATCGATTGTGTGGAGGAGCGGCAAGTATTCCCCAGCCAGGCAAGGCTTGACACTTGTCATGGCAAGTGAAGGGGTTCGTACGATAAGAGGACACATGGAATAATGAGGGGAATCGGGAGGTGAGTGTGGGGTAGGGGAAGAGAGGGAAGGAGAAATAGTGCACAGTCTTGGCATGGAAAGCCAATGCCAAATAGGAGGGCTGAGGGCAAAAGAATGAAATGAATATTGGATTTGCACCAGGCTTGAAAGAAAGCAGGATTGGAAGGAAGTCAGTCTGTTTGGAAGAGTTGCAGGGGCGGTATGTAGGCAGCAGGCGAGGTTGAACGCAGAAGAGCATTGAGCGACGAGGATGCATGGGTGTTTCAGTGAACATGCAGTATGTCAAGGAGCTTTTTGACCTGCATGTATACACATGCACATGCACACACACATGCTCATGCACACGCACATGCACACGCACATGCACACATTGCACAGACTCACGACCCCACATGCACCCCCATCCTCACACCCACACATGCACGCACCACGGGAAAAAATTGGGATCAAACCAAACCAGCATGAGAAACAAAAGGATAAGAACCAGCAGGAGGCACAACCAGCTGAAGCACAGAGGAACTAGTCTCACCTTTCCCTTGGCCTTGGGGCTGAAGTTCACAGCCAGCTGGGTGAGAGCAGGGCCCAGGTTGAGGCTATG